AAGGAATAAAAAGAAATAAAGGAATAAAAAGAAATAAAAGAATAAAAAGAAACAAAGGAATAAAAAGAAATAAAGGAATAAAAAGAAATGAATAAAAAAGAAAGAAAAGAATGAAAAGAAATAAAACACTATGAAAATATTCTACTTATTGTTGAAAAACTAACTTAACGATTCGGAAAGTTGTGGAAAATCGTAAATATGTTCACATGTGTTTCTACTATTTGGAATGCAAAAGCCAAATTCGAAATCAAAACTTTTTAACAAGCGATCACGGAAGAAATGTCGTTCAATCATGCGGAATTTATTCACCGGTTTATTTCCAACATTGAATTCAACACTGAAAAAAATACCATCATATATATCAAAAATTGGAATTCACAAATATTGAAAAATTAATTAATCAAAGGAAATCTTCGAAATTTACTGGATTTTATGAAAAGTAGAGCGATAGCAAGGCACAAAATAAGATGCAAGAAAACAAGCGTTTGAACAAAACACTTCACAAACTCAAATCCAAAGCTCGAAAGTTTGATAATGAACAATAATTGACTAAACTTTCCAAAATTAATCATTTAATCAACCAGCAATTACTTTTCTCTTCAGTCATCGTGCAAATTCTGCCATCTGAATTTCTTTAGAAGGACCAAGAGGAAAATTGGAAAATCCTTCATTCAAAAAACACACATATGAATATGACTCACGTTGCACCAACGTGTTTAAGAAGTAGAAATGCGGGAGTGAACTGATAACGAACAAACCGAGCAGCGCCTGTATCGTCACATTTCTCCAAATTTAAATCATCAATGTCAACATCTTCTAAATAAATTTAACCATTTTAAAAATTGGTATATAAGAAGGAAAATAATTGACGAATACTTAAAAAAAAAAAAAAAAAAAAAAAACTTTCATAATGCATTTAGCATTTATTCATGAAATATATATTAAATACATGCAAAATGAAATAAATCACATGTGGAAATTTTGCCAATAAACAGTCTTCACATTTGTAATGTGCTAATGAACTTGATAAGGAGAAAAAAAAAGCGCTAATTTACCTGTGGTAGGTTTGGCGATCTCAAATAAAACCTGATCCGTGTCTAAATCACGAATTTTAAACCTTGTAAATTCGATATCATAAATGTTCGCATCCGGTTCACACAAATAATCTGTAATAAAAAAAAAATAATCTAATATTCTTTAATAATAATCTATAATAAAAAAACGCAATCTAATATTATAAAAAGGCAAAATCCAAGAAATCTAATCAAAAAAAAGAAACTAATAATTGTGATTAAAATTACTCAATAACTCTTTTTTAGCAAAAAAAAAAAATCATTCGTAGCTAATAAACAAATATATTCAATCATTTCATTAACATTTCTTCTATTTCGATCCTTAATTTTTACATTTGCTAAGAAAGAAACATTAAAATGAAAAACATTAAATTAAAATGAAATACGGATACTATAATAACAGTTACCTTTGTTATACAAAATCTTTCAATCATTCTACTCGAATTTAGCCTGATTTCAACAAATCCTCACAAAGAAAAGTGAGGAGAAAAAAAAAAACAAAGCAAAAATACAAATTACTTATACTTTAATCTTAACATTTCAATTTAGCTATATAAAAAAACAAACAAACAAACCATCGGTAATTTTATTGAGGCGTAATACATCTTCAGGTGTTATAACTGATTGTTTTCGAAGTTCTGTTTCTGTTAATGGTTCATGTATTCGTTTATCCGTTGAAGTCGATGATGAACATCGACGCATCTTTGATATCATACGCTCCAGAATTGCTATCTCTTCAATCATTCAAATATTATGATTGTCTGACACTCGTAATTATCACAATCTTAGAAGAGCATTTTGTCAACATAAAAATTATTATCGAACCAATTAATACGCTTAAAAATTATATCCCTAAACAAAAAACTACTAAATGATGCCACTTAAGCGATAATTATAATAATAAAAAAACTCATAAATGATATTAAGTGATAAGCTTTTAATACAACATTATTTTTTCATATTATATTCAATATGCATAATAGAAGAAATTTCTAATATTGCCAAAAAAAAGAAAGAGAGAGGGAGAAAGAGAGAGGGAGAAAGAGAGAGGGAGAAAGAGAGAGGGAGAAAGAGAGAGGGAGAAAGAGAGAGGGAGAAAGAGAGAGGGAGAAAGAGAGAGGGAGAAAGAGAGAGGGAGAAAGAGAGAGGGAGAAAGAGAGAGGGAGAAAGAGAGAGGGAGAAAGAGAGAGGGAAAAAGAAAGAATAAGAGAAAAGAAAACATCACTTCATCGATATGCTTTTGCTTTTTCTTCTCCTCAATATCTACAATTAAAAACAAGAAATATTCTTTTTGATCATTAAGGATAATTACATTCAAATATGAAAATTTAACTAAAATTAATATCAAATACATATTTGTATAAATATCTATTACAAAAAGATATTTTGTTTAATTTAAAATCCATTAAAAACAATGTTATAGCATAAGGTGTGTATAATTTTGAAGAATAAATCTTTTCAGAATACGAGAATTATCTTTCGTTTCCATGACAAGAAAAACTCATTATCAGACAAGAGGGAAGGAGAGAGATAGAAAATGAAAGGGAAAGAGAGAGAAAAAAAGGGAGGGTGAAGAAGTTTGTTAAAGCAATGCTTTTCGTGCTCTATTGAATTTCATACATAGCCTTTGCTCATGTTTTTTTTTTTTTGCGGAAAGTCTATTAAGATATATAACTAATTACCATATTTTATAATCTTATTTTTACGAATAAATTATGCTATTATGCTGTACAATAATACTCTCACTTTTCATTTTTTTTTTCTTTTCTCCCTTGAATAGAATTAATGGATTTAAAAAAATTTATTGAAACAATTTCCTAGCAAATCCATCGATAAATTTCACTTCAACGATTACTTGAATTCTTTTTCAAAATTCTTCAAAATTTTTCCCATTATCATCTTTCTAAAACAGTATTTGTCACTTAAAAATCATATGAATGAAAAATACAAAAAAAAAGAGAATCTTTTGTTCCAAAGTGCAAAATGATATTTAACAATATTTGAAATGCAATTTTTCTTTTTCGTTTTTTGAAAAAAATCAATTAATTTATGCTTAAAAATTGTGCAAAAAAGTGGAAACTCAATTCAATAAGTGAAGAAAAATTACTTTAAAAGGAAAATAATGAAAGAAAAAGCAAAATAAATGGAAAAAATCTCTCAACCACTTTCAAATTTTTCAAAAAATAAAAGCAAAAAAAACCATCAGCAACAACTAAAATTTGGAAAGAGTATAAATGAGAAACGAATGAAAATATCATTAGTACAAGGGAGAAAAGGCTAAAAAGGGAGGAAGAGAGAGAGAGAGAAAAAAAGATAAATATTTGGATGTATCGAAAGCATTTCAAAAATTCACTGCTTCTATGTGTTTATTTTCAAAAAAAAGGAATGAAAAAAGAACGCAACATTGACTTGAAATTTTTTTTTTTAATTCGTTTCAAAATGATAAACCCCAAAAAAAGCAAAGAAAAATATCTAAATTTTCGTAGATTTTTATTTTTATGTTAAAAATTCATTTTTATCAATTCCTGTTGTTTTTTCGAAAACTTTCATTTTTTGTGCTTTTAAATTTAAAAAATTAGCATCCTCCTTTTTTTTGTGTTTAATAAAATAATCTTTCATATAAAATGAATCAGAAATCACTGAATGAAAAATTAATTATAAGTGTCATTATTTTCAGCCATATACTTAATTAATTAATTAATTATGAGATAGCATACCATGCTATGAATTAACATAACATGTGATGAATTAGCATATTAATACAAATCAAAATTATATTGAAACATAGAATTAACAACTTTCCATTATTACAGTATTCATTATTATACCACATATGAAATTTCTTGCAATGTAATATTCTTATTACTAAACTAAATAATAAATATTTTAGTTAATATAATAAAAAGGACTAGATGATCAAGTAAGTTATTAAATCATACTTTTTATTATTTAAGTCTTTTGTTCCATAAAGTTGTCTGCAAAGTTGTCTATAAATCAGTATTAGTTAATGAAGAGTAAGGATGAAATAATATTTCCAATTCCATGATGCTTTTCCGGTTTAGCATTTATGACACAAATTCAAAATCATCGTACAGTTTTACGTATACCTAATATATCATATAACCAATTTCTTCTGCCATCCATAAATTGGATTACTCTTTAATTATATCATAGAAAAT